AAAAGCGTTCCTGGTGCAAGGGTGGCACAGGTGGAAAAGTGTTCCTGGTACAAGGGTGGCACAGGTGGAAAAGTGTTCCTGGTACAAGGGTGGCACGCGCGTTCGAATCCTATCAGAACACATGCGAACTGACGGAGCTCGCAAACGACTACATGCAGTGAACTGCAGGAATCAAGACAATCAGCTTCAAGAAGGACGCATTGCGGTTTAAATAATAATAATATTAATAATAATAATAATATATTATACTAGTAATAATAATAATAATTAAAAAAAAAAAAGAGGACATGCTCACAGGACTTTTATGGATCTATCGGGCAGCAATTACGATGTGATGAGTGATCCCTCGCCCGTTTTATCTTTTTTTTTGTTTGAATAACCAAAAAAAAAGGACCCCTCACACGTAGCTGCACCCCTGTAAGGAGGCGCACTGGAGGGACAGAAGAGAGACATCTCTCCCTTGGCAGCCGGCCTGCGAGACCGTGTCTCTCTTCCAGAAACACACACGAGGCTTGGACGCTGCACCCGTTGTCCAGCAGGTGCTGGTCCCCACCACTAGATGCAGCCTGCCCAAGAATGCTAGTGGTGCCTGCTTTTATCAGTACCCCTAGCATCATCTCGGGTTGTCCTCTTTCAGAAAAAAAAAAAAAAAATCCTATAAATGGAGGAAGGTGGAAGCAGCTGACAGGCTATGGCGGGTGAAAGAGGACAGCAGCGCCTTCAGGTACGACTGCACGTCGTTCGCTTCTCTCCTTCCATAGCTTGGTCGCACAGAGGGCGGCCCGATAAATGCACGTGAGACTAGCCGCTCTCACTTTTGTCTGTCTGCATGTACAAAACGGAAATTTGAACACACAAATTTCAAGGAAGGGACAAAAAAAAAAAGAAAAAAAAAAAAAAAGGAAGGGACAACACCGCCGTCAACAGACAAACCGCCGTCGCCTGCAGCTAAAAAGATAAGGTTAGATAGATAGATAGATAGATAGATAGATAGATAGATAGATAGATAGATAGATAGAGTATATGGGGGGGGAGAGAGAGAAATAGATAGATGGTAGGTAGGTAGGTATGGCCAGAGCAAGAAGACGTTTCATCTATATATAGCTGTAGTCCTCCAGAGGCCTGTGTATTTAAACTCATGGGTGGATCGCCGCCTCGCCGCTGCCATTCATTGCGAAGCTGTTGCATTGCATCTAATCACGTTTAGAACTGAATGTTGATTGGTCAAGTCACTCAAGTGCCTACAGTTCCACAAATCCTGGACGCACGAAGTGTCGACTGGATCCCAAGCGGGACGCTTGAGTTTCCAGTCCCCTGGACGTTCAGATTGTTATCATCATCCCATCTGATATGCTTGACATGTCTGGCGTGCACGAGTGCAGTCTAGAGAGAGAGAGAGAGAGAGAGAGAGAGAGAGAGAGAGAGAGAGAGAGAGAGAGAATATGGTACGTAGATAGATAGATAGATAGATAGATAGATAGATAGATAGATAGATAGATAGATAGATAAGTTAATTAGATCGATAGTTGGATAGATAGATAGATAGATAGATAGATAGATAGATAGATAGATAGATAGACAGATAGATTGATTACCTGAAACTGACGAGTGTCAAGTCCAAATTGAACGGATGCTGGTTTAAGCTCTCCACTATGAGCTGTATTTCCGCCATGATGGCGAGCCTTGGGTGTCCTCCTTGTTTTCAAATTTTGTGATATGAGTTCTTGGCTACATGAGCGCTGGTTGTATCCCCTCCACCGCGCGCGAAGGTGCTAGAGGCTTCTACCTTGGCTCTCGCTGGTCATGACCTCCCGGACTGTATCTGGGACTTGAGGATCGAACCACAGCTCGTACTAGGCTGGCTTCACTCCCCTCACCTCCACCCCTGCCCTCCTTGTTTTCGATTTCCGGCTATGAGTTCTTGGCTACATGAGCGCTGGCTCGCTGGTCATGGCGTCCCCTACTGTCTCTGGACTTGAGGTCGGGCCACAGCTCGTTGTAGGCTGGCTTCCCTCCCCCTCACGTCCACCCCGCCCCCCAAATCTCCAACCCGCCCCACCTCTCCCCCCCCCACCTTCACTAGCTTGAAAATAAAACGACCGTCGATATTCCGTTGCCGATGGTCATCTCAACGGTCAGCCAGAGAGACCAGCGGTTTTCGAGAGCCTACCTGGAGACACCTCCCCCCAACACAACGCAGCCATCGGACCCAGTTATGGGCCAGAATGGGGTCCCCTCGTCACCCCGGGGCTCGGTTCCACCTGCTTCATTCGCAGTAGCTGCCGACAATCGAGCGACCGGTAGCGACCTTTGCGGACCGTGGATCGAAGCGGATCGAGTGGCTGCCCAAATGCGCATTGCTCTTGCTGACTGTTACATGCGGTAGCATTTGCTCCAAGGAGACTGCCGAGTGGAGATTTGCACGACATTCCCATGCATATCGCCGTACGATGGTACGGTCATGCCACGGTTAATACGCCCGATCCCATCCGAACTCAGTAGACAAGCGCCGTTGGTCTGGAATAGTACTGGGATGGGTGACCACCTCCAAGGAAGTCTCGTCCCGGTGTAGGTAGGTACAATTTCGCCTTATAGCGGGGTAGAAGGGTACAACAATCAAGGCGATTTTTTTCCCAATGAGCTCGCCAATGAAGGTGAACGTCTGTTCTCTTAGGGCCAGATCCCACTAGCCCCTATTGTTCATTTCTGACCGTTGATCTTCGTAATCGAGGGTGAAAAATGAATAATCCAGGGTAGTGGGATCTGACCCTTAGTGTCCTCCACTTGTGTCACCGCGGTGTCCTCCACTGGCTGCTCACCGCAGTGTCCTCCACTTGTGTCGCCGCCCCTTGCGCAAACAGATATGTGGATGTCAGGGCTGAAGCAGCCGAGCAGACTGCGAGGGTGCTTTTTTTTTTTTGGTGGGGGGGGGGGGGGGGGGGGTGTTGTGGGTTGTGGGAGTGGAGGGGAGGAGGGCCTACCGTACCATGTGATTATGGATCATGCAGACCCTATGTTTGAAAAGATACATTTTAGAACCTTTTTGTTTATTTCTTGTCTTTTCTTTTCTTTTGGGTATTGGAAACATACGTGTCTGATTAGGTGAATCATGTAGACCCAGTTTTTTTTCTTGGGTTGGGGGGGGGGAGGAGGGGATAATTTGCGAAATACCCCTATAAGTTGAGATATACGCCAAAATGCCCCTACAAGATCTGGGTAGAGCAGAATACCCCTCTGACACAAAAAAATGCTTTGCGAAATGTCCCTGATGTCGGATGGACCTGTCATCTTTGCAAAATACCCCTACCGGGTACCGTCCATGTTTGCAAGATGTCCCTGTACTTGCCAGATTTTCCCAGGCCCTTTGTATTTTCGTTTTATCCCTAGTGGCCCAGGTCATCTTTGCATTTTGCCCCCTCGCTGTGTGTTTGTGTGTGTGTGAGAGAGAGAGAGAAGGAGAGTGTGATATCGGGCTGGGATAGCGGAATATATATATATATATAGAGAGAGAGAGAGAGATGGTACTTCCATCGATAGGATGAGCAACACACTGCCCAACAGGTAAGTCTCCAACCCCACGGCTTGCCTCACGCTACTTCCATCAATAGGATGAGCAAAATCGAATGAATCTTCTGTTAGAACATGGAAATATACACAAGGTAAGTCTCCACTTGTGTGTGTGTGGCCAGTGTGTTGCTTATCCTATCGATTGAAAAATCTCTCTCTCTCTCTCTCTCTCTCACACACACACACACACACACACACACACACACACACACACACACACACACACAGACAGAGGAGCCGTGGGAGGAGGCGTGGCAGGGGAAACGGGGAGGGGGTTAGGAGCGGGAGAAGGAGCATGAGGGGAAACGTGAAGGGGTGGACGAGGCACGGGAGGAGGAGCGGTAGATGGAGCGGGAGGAGGAACGGGGGAAAGAGCAGGGGAAGCAGCGGGAGAAGGAGGAGCAGCGGGAGGGGGAGCGGGAGAAGGAGAGGGAGGAGGAGAGGGAGGAGGAGCAGGAGAAGGAGCAGGAGAAGGAGGGGGAGCGGGGTTATGGCGGGATCTTTGTCACATTGTTTGGCGAAGGAGGAGCGGGAGGGGGAGGAGGAGTGGGAGGAGTGGGAGGAGCGGGAGAAGTAGCGGGAGGAGGAGTGGGAGAAGGAGGGGGAGGACTGGGAGGGGAAACGGGAACGGGTTGCATCTCACAGCCCCTTACTCCATACTCTCCCTCTCATTTTGCACATTGGCAGCTGCTCAGTTGATGCACACATGAAACTGTTGAAGTGGTCATGCCTGGGCGCGCGCGCGCGCGCGCGTGTGTGTGTGTGTGTGTGTGTGTGTGTGTGTGTGTGTGTGTGTGTGTGTGTGTGAGAGAGAGAGAGAGAGAGAGAGAGAGACACTCTCTCTCTCTCTCTCTCTCTCTCTCTCTCTCTCTCTCTCTCTCTCTCACACACACACACACACACACACACACACACACACACAACCTCCTGATCAGTCGGAAACAGTCTGCAACAGTCATGTTTTTTTTGAGTGTATAGCGAATATGATGACACCCAAAAAAAAAAAAAAAAAAAACTCAAGCAGTGTCACAACAACACTGCAGCATGGCTGCGGCGGGTCCACTTGTTTTATTTTTATAATCACATCCCTCACATAAATGTTGCAGCCATACAAGGCTGAGAAAGGCACTTCCAGCCAATCCCATCCCCGATCACAGCCGTCCAGTTGCCGTCCAGCTGCTGAGACGCCGGCCCCCCCAGTACTATAAGGCTCAAGTTGCAAAAAGGAAAGAAAACCGGAAAACCAGCATGGCCAAGGCACAAAGGAAAACTACCATCCTGTAAAGGCTAACCATATCCTATCTGGGTATCCACACAGTCAGCAACACAGTTAGTCACATATGTCACTCGCTATTTGCACTCTGTGGAAAAAGGCCACATCCTATGAAAGGTAACCATATCCTATCTGATTATCCTATCTGACTGTCAAAAGATCCCCAGACACTTATCTAAAGAGGTCAATTAGAAGGTTGCAAATTCACAGATTTACAAGTACATATGCAGTCCACCTCACCCCATCCACACGTACATATGTACAAATGGTCATAGAGGGTCGCAAATTCACAGTTTACAAGTACACAATCTTGCAATTTTGCAAGTTCACAAAAAGAAATCAGGAAAAAGCAAAGTAGGAAACGCTCTGGCAAAGCAAACCAACGGTACACAATTCATCACAAACTCCACATCTTTGAAAATCAAATAGAAAATACACGTGTTGTATTCGAATGCAATGCGTACGCGGTCTATTCGAAGTGCACTTCTATTCGAGAAAGTTGACCGACGTCTGTTTCGATTTTGAAATGTTCAAAGTCGAGGAGTGCGGCCTCCTCGGACCCCTACCTGCTGCCTCCTCGGACCCCAGACCCCTTCCTGCTGCCTCCTCGGACCCCTACCTGCTGGCAGCTACCGGTCCTTCGCAAGCAACAACTGCGGGTTCCCAATGAATTGCCCCCCCCCCCCAGGAAAATTTCACCAGCCTTTGGACCCAAACCGTCGTCAGGTAAGACCAAACGACGAAAATTTGATTCAGGGGTATAAAAAACGCACCCCTTACAGGCTGCGCACTTTTCGGAACTGGCCAGGCCACTTTCCCCGGCAGTGGGGTCGGATAACGAGGTCGGGGGTTGAGCATGGCGGCCTTGGGGGGTCCCTACCAGCCGCCGTGTAGTGGCATCCAAGCCTAAAAAAAGGTAACCATGGAAACGTGCACCCACCCTCCGTGTCATGATGGTCCTCGGTGCAGAGGGAAACAAAAATGGAAAAACGAAAACAGCCTTGCGATACAGGCCTCAAAGCACTGCTGACCAACTGGTTCGCACAGTGGCGTGTCAAGGGCCATATATAGTCCTAATAATAAAATAATAACTGATAGACCGTGCCCGGCGCGGTAGCGCAGCCAAGGGGCGGAAGGGTGACGCGTAAGGAGCGAGGAGGCATTTCGTGGGGGAAGGTAAGGCACAGAAGTTGCATTCAGGAGGTCGTGGGGTGCAATCCCCCTGTCTCTTATACACATCTAGATGTGTATAAGAGACAGGCTCTGCTCAATGCCACCCGGGGGGACCACCCGCATATCTCTAGGTGGCGGGCGCCAAGCTTGCCCAGGAAGGTACATGAGGCCAATGGGGATTGAACCCAAGACCTCCTGAATGCCACTTGCATGCCTTACCAACTGAGCTAGGCCGCTGGATGCTTAGGGCACAGAAGTTGCATGCACGATGTCGTGGGTTCAATATGAAAAAAAAAAAACAGCCGTGGAGCATGGAATTTTGGCGGGTCGACAACAAAAGCGCAGGGAGGTTTCTGCAGGCTTTTTGCAGCCATCTCCACGAGATCTGTTTTTTTCTGAAGGGTGCGTGCGAGGGAAGGTTTCTGCTTGCTGGTGCAAGGGAGCGAGGGGGCAAAACATCTTATCGCGAAGATGCCTCGTTCTTCGAAGGGAAGATCAGGTGGAATGATGAGGCGGCCTGCACCTCCCCCAGCTCCTCGTCCAGTGGCACAGGCTCCCCCGCCTGCTGTCCCCCAGAGGGATTAAGGAGGCTCGCTTCTCGGCGGCATTGGCTCAACAATTGCCCAAGGAATGGCGTTTGGAACTGGGAGTGCTGTGGCGCACAGAGCAGTTGATGCTGTGATGGGTCCAAGAGGCGGTGGTGCGGCACCTGCGGCTGCTGCTCCGGAGCCGCTTGCAGCTTCATCCCCTTTCGGGGGTCAGACAGTTGATGCTTGTGCTAATCAGGCGAAGGCATTTCAAGATTGTCTGGAGCATAATAATTCTGACATTGGGAAATGCCAGTTCTATATTGATATGCTCACTTCCTGCAGACACAATGGGACCATGTTCCAGTCTTAATGAGGTATCAACAGTCTATGGGGTTACCAAGACCGGAATGGCTATAAGATGTGGGAGCTCTGATCTGTTATTGTTGAAGAACTTCTGTCTGGCATCCTTTCGAACGCCTGTTGTTGTATCGGAAAGCCTACGCCCTCCGTTTTCTGAGGACCTGTGTTTCCCTGTTAGCTTTGGTGATATTGAACTACGGAGACTCTGGAGAGGAGGGGCGTGACATCTGGAGATGGACGCGTTTGTGGATTTTAGAGGCTCGCCACACAGGCTGTCGAATGTCGAAAATTTTCGACAGGTGTCAGAAAATTTTCAACAGTCGGGCGGTCGACAGTTTTCCCCCTCTTCGCCACACAGGCTGTCGAGGGGCAAGGTTTTTGGCCATGGACAGGCGGACTCCACCTTACGACAGGGCACGGGTGTCACCGAACAGTCCCTGACAATGCAAAATCGAACGCAATTTTCGACAGCCCGACAGGCCCACTGTCGAATTTCGGTCACCCGCAGGCTGGAGGAAACGAGTGCTGGAGGGCGGCTGTCGAAAGTGTCATTCTGACACTTCGAAATTTTTTTGAACCGCAATTCGTCGAAAGTTTGTGTGGCGATGCAAAACTGTCGAAAACTCGGTTTTCGACAGCCTGTGAGGCGAGCCTCTTAGTGTGATGTTGAAGCCTTCCGTCAGGCTGTCGCGAGCCTCTTAGTGTGATGTTGAAGCCTTCCGTCAGGCTGTCGCGAGCCTCTTAGTGTGATGTTGAAGCCTTCCGGTGACAGGATACCCCCCATGACGGAGGACGCTTTGCATGGGGATTAAGGGCCTGGCTGCACTACTCTCGAAATGTGCAAAACG